CCCTTTACTACAGTTCGGAGTCGCGGACCTTCAGTAATAGTAATAAATCACACAGCAATAGTACATTCATGTTGTTGTAAAAAGCATGATAATATATTAAGTAATCCAAAGTATTCAGAATACGTTACTGTCATTGAGTAACGTAATGGAATACGTTACAGAATACATTTTGGGGCATGTAATTTGTAATCTGTAATGGAATACATTTTAAAAGTAACCTTCCCAACACTGGTTACAATGTAGCTGCAATAAGATCATAAAACTACATCGACTTCAGTAACGTTCAGTATGAGCCAGGAACTGTTAGACGTATAACTGTGTTATACATGAATGTAATAATTACTTCATGTAACAGACGTGGCTGCTGTTTAAGTAACCTTTGATAAACCGACACACAGCACGATCCCGGCATTTATTTTATGCAGCACGTCTCTTTTGTGTGCAAGCGTGCACTATGGAAATATCACTCTGCCAAAGCAGGTGCTCGTGCACGCGAGAACATTCATGTATAGTTCTTAGAGCGGAGCTGACATCAGTAATGGCCAGACAGTCGGTATCTGGTCGTCTTCACACACACACACACACACACACACACACACACACACACACACACACACCTGGCAGCAATAGGGAACTTTAGGCCCTTTCCTATAGGGATAAACGCCTCCCTATAGGAGTAAGAATCCCATTTATTTAGAATTTTGCTTACAATTCAGCAGCCAGACATCAACGATGGCTGTGCAAATATCCAGTGTCGGGGTTATAATTACACTCAATCAATCAGTGGTGCTTGCCATTTTCCTTTTGGCATGTCAACAAGTAGAACAAAGACGACGGGCGTATTCTTTGCATGTCCGGATGGAAAACTCAAACATTTGCATACAGCCCTCTTTATCCTCACATGGTGGTTTCTGTTGACTGCACCTGGCTGAGGAATTCTTTTCGGAGGAATCCGGGAACACTTTTGGATCTTGCAATGATAATGCGCTCAACTTTCTTTCTTTTTTTAATGAATCATGTCTGTAGCTGTGCACAAACATACTGTAGCTCATCCACACACTATAAACTGGGAAAGAAAGCAGACGAAGAGGAACAAGGGAGAACAAAGAGACGCCTAAACAACAAATTGTGTTCAGTTGCTTCCTAATTATAGGGGAATGCGCTGCATGTTGTCTTCATTCTGCATTTTCCGCTGTATCATAACAAAATAATAAGTAAGAGAAAAGGCCATTGTGGAGAGATCTAATCTGATGCCAATATGGGCAACATGTGGACGGCGCTCCGAGACCAGCTGTTTCCTCTTTATCAGACTCTGGATAGCTGGACAGCGGACACAAAGGAGACTGGCTCCAGGTTATGAGATATGAATGAATGCAGACACACACACTGACAACACAGAGGCAATTATTAAGCAACTTTTTTCTTTTTAATTTGATAATTTCAGACAAAAATTTCCTTCTTTGTTTAGTGTGGAATAAAATGACCAAAGACAACCGTTCTCTCTTCAGGTGCTGGATGTCGGCCATCTGCGCTGACTTTGTCGTCAACCTTGGGAATATATGTGAGCGTGTTTACTCCCTTTTCTTAATCCTCTCTCTCGGCCTCGCTGTGCTGTGGCGGAGTAGCGTGACCACTTAACTAATTGTGCTGTGCAAGATGTTCCAAGGGTGATGATTTGGCTTCGGTTTCCTAAAGTTTCCAAAGAGAGGACGTGAAGAGGGCTCTGCGGGAGACTCCTTTGGAAATGTGGAAAACAATCTGAGGCTTAGTGAGGCTAACGTGCTCAACATGTCGATGTCGAGTAGGTAACCTTAGCGATCCATCGCTGAATAGCTACCATTTTTGCTCTAATGCAGCAGATTTAGGCAAATACTGATTTGATGATGAGGCTTGCAATTCCTCCTCCTCATCAGTGTGTGATCTACATATCGTGGTACTCCAAACACCATCCAAAAACCTTGGATATGAGCTACACGCTGGCACAGATACTGCTGTTATGCCAAAGTGGTTTCACAGGCTTTGAGTTTCTCTGTGAGTTTCTCACAGCAACCAACTCGTCGCATATAGACGCTCACAAAGGCTCACACTTAAAGAACTAGGTAAGCATGGATTAATCTTGTGAAGGGAGGCAACCTTATCCTAATCTTTAGCTTCTGACAGGCTGACACGAGAACCTTACGTAGATGCACAGACGTGCGAGTCGCAAGTTGCTCATGTTGAGTTTTGTGTCGCCCTTCTCGTACGTGACATTAACTTCTGCTGTCCTGCTGTTTGGTTTGGTTTAGGAAAATGTTGTGGTTGGCTCACAACACCCCTCCTTTACAATATTAACTCTGCACACGATACTACGGAGTTAATCGTGTGCAGAGTTTAATGCCTTAAACAAAGGTGCATATGTGACGACTGTGAGAGGAGGATCGCTACTTAGGGTCAGAGGTCAGTTACAGTTACATAAACCACTTGTACACAACGTTTCTGTATATCTGGCTTCCTGACAGCAAAGCTTACTTTTAGACTAGGACTACAGTCAGACTGAGGAAAATGGTGGAAAGCACACGTGCAGTGAACTTGTTGCCTTGGCTGCTTTGAAGATCTGTGAAAACTTGCAGTCAGCTGACTGGACGGGGATTAAAAAATGGAAATAAAACAGAGTCAGTCTGGTGCACACGAAGAAGGAAATGGTTTAGTGGTCGACAGCTTTGACAAGTGGAGATATGAGCATTACTTTGGTTTTAGTGCATGAAAGGACAAAAGTACAATGGTGAAATTAATAAGCAGCCATGCTATGATGCTAACGCAACTTTACAAGCGTCCACACAAACTGCACGCTAACGCAAAGGCCGGTTTATGGAGTAACGTCAAACGAAATGTAACGAGTAGTGCAGCAAACGATTCTCTGCGCTGAGTAATCGATAAACATCCTGCGTTAACAACCCCAGCACTGGTTGTAAGGTGGCTGACGTCCTGCACAAGTATGCTCATTTTTATGGACTTACATCCGTGATAAACATGTTTGTAACCGTGCACGCGCTGCAGCTCCATAATAGACGTGTTCTGAGTGTCACTTTGTCTGTGGCACATGTGAAAACAATGAAGCGTTTTTAGTCAGTCGAACAATAAATCCTACGCGACTTCATAGATTTGGGTGTCGTGTTTCAAAGAATCGTCACTCTCTCATCTCACGAGAGGGTTGAGGCTCCGAGCGGTGACTTGCAGGTTTGATGTTACGTAGCAGCGAGCTGACCGCTGGCGTCGTTTGTTTCCATGAGGCCCGAGGAACGGAAGGAGCTAAAGCTTTGTAGAACAGATGTTCCTGCTCAGCTTTAAACCAAATTACCCAGCCGCGCTCGCAGCCATGGGCCAGAACCACACAGACGCTGATTGAATGGCGAAGGGGGCAAGAAAAGTAGATCAGGCTCAATAAAGCAGCCACATCATGAAATCTGGTCAGCCTTTGAGGCCTGAAGATAAAAGGGATATTGACATTGCTATGGAGACTAAGAGGAGAGCTGGCGGCTTCGGTCTGGGTGCCTGAGACTTCCTGTGTGTTTTCATGTTTTTCATTTTGAAGCAGCCGTTTTAACTCGCTTTAATTCAGACGGAAAGTTGAACCTGGACTGATGTGAAATGTAAAAAGCCTGGAAGTTGTAACAGAAGATGAGCTAAAATGTAAACTGTTGTTTTTACAGCATGTTATTTATTAAGTCAACTTTACATTTAAATTGTGTTTCCTGAGACGGCAAAATCAAGAATCTCTCCTCTGTTTAAAAGCTCGGTACTGTTTAAAAATGATTACTGACGACGTTTGTATTCACAACCTAAACACAGCGTTGAATCACTAAAGGTGGATTCATTCACAGGCCTCGGTGAGCACTAACACATCTCTGCTTCAGGCGTGCGACTCATGGCTCCACCACAGGAATAACATTTCTGACCCTCTGACTGAATCAGCAGACACGTTCGTGTGACTTCTGGCACTCGCTACGCCGTCACGACGATGGAAAATGTTGCGTGGGACAGATGTGGCTCAAATGTCAGGACACACCTGACATCTGGACCACATAAGGTGAAGCTGTGGTTTATGTGACACAGCTACACTCACCCCGAGTCCAGCCCATGAGTCAAGGCCGTATGTGGCTCTTAAGCGAGCAGCAGATGTGGTCTGCTTTCGGCCCGTTGCTTTCTGGGAGCTGTGAGTGGTGGAGGTGCGTTGTGGGTTAATGCTGGCATGGCAATTTGATGAGGAAGAAGAACGAGTGGGAGACTCAGCAGCGTAAGATTAAGGCCGGGTGTCAACAAAAATAATATCTGTGCTGAAGTGGCAAAAAGTTCCTCCAACAACCGCTTGAGGCTGAAAGGAAACTCAAATGTCTTACAGCCTGATACAAGACCAGCTATATTTTTTATGATCTACACTTTTAAGCTTTAAAGGCATGCATTACTGAGGGAAGGCCTGCTTTGACTGACAGGTCGACGCTGACACAGGAGGCTGGAGCCAGAGGCATTATCACCGTGTTTGTGGTGTCGGTGCTTTGCTGTGCTGAAGCCCATACTGCACTTTTTATGCTTGTGTTATATTTGTACGTTACTCAGGACTAAGTAGCAGATATCCATGTGATGCTATCATCAGCTAATAACTTAAAAATTCGCCATCTTGCTAGAATTTGGTCACTTTTCTCTCTATAAAACCCAACGTGGTTAAAATGCTCAGAAGCATCAGCGTGACTATGATATCTTTCATATTCACAGTCATTCAGAAATAACTTTGATCCAAACATTGTGCGTCTTTTTTATTTTCTTTGTTTTAAAAACTCTGTAATTATCTTCCATTAACCTCTTCTTGTCATCCGTTAGGCTTAGGTCTCGCCTCGTCTCCTTCCCGATTGCCGCTATTGTCTTCGTCTTTGTTCTTTCCTGCTGCAACATGCTTTTTGTACCCGGGGATAAGCGATGTTATCTTTTGACACTGAATAGAAATAAAGCAATGCCAGAATTCTTTCTCAGGCTCATTTAAACTTTATTGCATTCAGTCAGTGCTGGGTTTGTGCTGGAACGAAACACCTGCAACATCAGAATAAATCATGCATTAAATGAACATGCTGACATTTAGAAGAATGCACTTCATGCATCATTTCTACTCAACACTTTGTTCAATTGAACACTTACACAAATCATAGCCAACTTGTCAGTGGTACCACCGGGCTGAAACAATGCCCTGAAGTCGGCATCACCGATAGAGAGAAACCCCTCTCTAACCTTTTCACTGGGTAATCTCCTCCAGGTCTGAATGGAACATTTATCTGCAGAAATTTCAAGTAATGGAAACATAATTTTATGGCGGCAGCCAGGATCAGTGGAGGTGCCGGATAAGAGCAAATTCATCACGCTTACTGATGAGCTTCCACTTTCCTCTGGATATGAAATTTTCAAGCACTTTTCCTTTTGTGGCTCCAAGTTGCACACACTCCCATTCGCTCACAATGTGGGGCTGCTGGTTGAAATCCATTACACAGACATAGCAGACATTTCACTGGGATTAGCTCACAATGAGCCCTAGTCTCAGTCTGGCCTTTGACGGCACAGACAGAGAGACGACACAGGTGAAGCTCGAGGGGCGTGTCTGCAGGCGTCTCAGGAGGAGAATGCAGGAGAAAGATGAAGGTTGAACAGAACAACAGGATTGGGTTCATTAGCATGTACGAGTATTCACAAACACCAACCCATCGGCTCATGAAACATTTACACGTCGACGAAGGAAAGCACAGTCGTCTAAGTCGGGACGCACTTCCACGGAGACGTCAAGCTTCAGTCTGACAGGTTCGGGGACTCTGGTTTGGATTTCATCACCGCCTTTGACTCGAGGCGAGCATCACGTCAGTTTGACACAGCAACCAACAACAGCTGAATCTCGGTCTCGCTGCTGTCGCTCGAAGCTGTCGCATGTCTGTAGGCTCCACTCCTGTTCCTGCTGAACTGAGCCAGTTTTCAGGTATAACACTGATACCAGTTCAGTAGGCACAGGAGGGCAAAGCCCAGAAACAACTGAGTGCTGCAGCTTATTTTTGCTCACATCATAGCAGCACGCAGCGTTAGAACAGCAGCACCAAGTTCGGGGTGAATTACGCAGCAATAGGCAAATTTACTGCAGTCACGCAGCTCACAGTGAGCAGCAGGAGAATTTGTGATCACTTAAGACACTTTTATTTCAGGAAAAAAGGGTTTTACTTCTTAGTTTGCACTGGTGTTAATTTGCTAAAAATCCACCCAAGAAAAATTAAGCGACAGCTCAGACCAACATGAAATCAATCAGCTAGTTTATCGTAGGAAAAGCTGGGAGACTTTCAGCTAAGGGTGATAAAGTGTGGGAAGGTTAGTGCTAAACACTGGCACTGACGTCCTAAGCTACCTCAGTCAGACGTGAAGTGGCACGCCCAGGTACAGTTGACATTTAGCACCACATTCCTAATCCAGATGCAATCTGAGGCATTTGCAAGAACACATTAAACCTGGGTCACATGGCCTCGCTCAAACAATTTCAAATATATTTGGCATGCACCATGATTCTTGCCAGATGTTAGAGGTAAGAAGACAGTTGTTGCTGCAGGCAAATGAAGAAACAGTACAGCTTGTCTCACCTCTGGACCATATTGCACAAGCACGCTGCCTTTGGTCCACAGAAGCAGGTGAGCCCACATTAGAGCCGTGAGCCGAGCTTCTCCCTTTCCCACCTAATCTCTCCCCCCTTCTCCTCCCTCCTTCTTTCCTCATATCCGAGATCATCAGGTTCTTTCCATTCAGCGGAACAAATCCCCCAACGTCGAATCCACTATTTCACCTCAGGCACTGAACTTAGCCACTGTGAACAACACATAGCAGGGATCAATGCTCACCAATTAGCTAAGCTCTGTGCCTTTAGCAAGTGGGTGGCAGGCTTTCGAGGGACCAGAGCCTCACGCAGACCTTTACGTGACTGCTCACCGGTAAAGTTGGTGGCTTTAGCGCCTGCGGTGCTTCGGATGTTGAGGTTCGCTTTTGTGTTTCGGAGCGTGCTGCCGGTGTAGGATCAGGGCCGCTTCCCTGTGTGTTTAAATCTAAAATCCGAGAGCTGAAACGTGAGCTGACTCCAAAAGTTAGTTCTATCACGTAAAGCTGCACGGCCCTCACGTGCATTTACATCAACTTCCTGTCGTATTTGAAAGACGAGACGTGTGAAGAGTTTGAATTTCAGACAGCTGCACGTTTAACGGCAGCCTCGTGAGCGTTTCGACACTTTCTGTGCTATGTCACAGCTCTCCTTGTGAGAAGTCTGCTGAGAGTTGATCGCCGTATCTAACTTCACCCATATTTGACTCCATAGCAACATCCAGCATCAGAAATCAACTGAATCCAATCAGAGCAGCTAGGACGGCTACACAAAAGCAACCCGCGATGGAAACAGTGCGGTGGGTCACCAGCTGAGCTGTGAAGGAGTGGAAATCCCTGGCAATGTGATTTTTGTTTCTCTTTGTGCATCAAATCACGGTGCCAGGAACCCTCCCCACCACAGCCGAGATAGAGAGGCTGCATCCGCCCTCCCCTGCCCTTTGTAAGGTTACGTCCTCGTGGGCTCCAGATGCCTTTTTCCCACAGCAGCTGTGAAGCACCTGTGACCTAAAAGAAAGGTGGAGAAAGGGAAAAAGAAGATTTGAGATACTCCTGGGGAATAAAAGCTGTATATCAGAGCTTGAACTGATCTGATAATCTGTGATTCGCTTTATCTCGCTTTTGTAACCCTGGAGTGACAGATGATGCAGCTTATCTGTGACAAAGAAATAAAGATTACATTTGCGGGGTGAGAGGAATGACTCTGCAGACTTTCTGCTGCACAGATCAGCAGGAAGCAGCAGATGTGGAGACTAGTCGGAACATGCAGAGCCAGCTACCTGGTCAGTTTGTTTAAAGGAACTGGAGGGCAAAAATAAAACATCGCTTGTTTGAAATGGCAAAGGCAGCGCAGAGCGTTTGGTCCTCCTGGAGTCAGTATACACACCGTGAAATGTCAGCTCAGGATAACAGGCACCAGAAGGAAATCTGCTCCTTTTTAAACAGAACAACAACAAGTACAGCAAAGGGACTCGGTTCTGCTTTGTGTCCAATTAAACTGGAGGGTTTGGTCCCCCCCCCCAAGTGCAGATTACGAGACAAAGGAGAAGAAAAAAGTTTTTTTGTCTTGTTTTTTTAACATTTTTTTTATTATTCTTGCAAAATGATAACGTCACCGTGTATTATTATCCTTTGTTGTTCTTGTTTATGCTGTTTTTCAGGGAAAATTCCAGGCCCACCCTGGTGGGGAAGAAATAATGACAGGATTGTTGAGCAGCACTGAGGGGGAGGTTAGGGCAGAGTCTCAACAGTTTCGGCTTTATTGCTTTTCGTACGTCGCCGCCGTCTCCTCTCCCTCAGTTTTAGAGCCGAAACCATGGAGACTTTTCTCCATCATGCTAATCCAGATCAGATGAGCGATATAACCCAATTGTCTCATGCTCATTCCCTTTGTTAGCTAGATGAGAAGCTTGAAGCCACTCCTCGTGTCTGATCGTTAACTCTCAGGCTAAAGAAAGCAGCGAGTTCACGGAGAGGCATTTCTAAGCCTCGCTGATTAACGTGTTATGGCTGGTTTGTTAAATCTCACTTTTACGGTCAGACTACATCTTGGCAACTTCTTGGAGTACCTGGTGGGTGAAAGGGTGAGCCACAAAAAGAAAAATAGTCCAACACAGGTACATAAAAGACACTTGCTGTGCCTCAAATTGTGTACCATTATGTGCGCACACTGCAAGCACAGCTGCACAAAGGTCACCACAAGAACCTGTGTGGTTTACCCGTAACGATCCAAAGCCTGAGTGTGGAACAGTGCACACTTCACACCTTCAACAGTTGCCGTCCAATTAATTTTCTCAGGGAGAAAATTCTCAGAAATTTCTCCCTCACAGTAGGCGGACTGTTGAGGGACTGCTGGGTTTTTTAAACGCAGGTTTTCTTTTACCCAGTGATGACAAATGATGATAGCACCACGCCAACCACTTTCTCCCACCACAGGGACACGACACGATAGGTTAACGCAGCTGATGAAAAGAGATTGTTTAACCAGGAGTTTCACTTCCTGGTTAAATGGATGTTTAAGTAAAAGCAGGTAAGCAGAACTCGAATGTGTAATGGAGACAAAAAGCTGAAGAAGTAAGAAACAGAGTAAAACTTACCAATAAAGTGACTGATCAGACCAAAAGAGACACGCGGGGGAAAGAAACACTAACAAATTAAGTAATTCGTTACTCTGAAATAACTAAATAAACAAGCGATGAGTCAAAAGAAATAAAAGAGTAAATCATTACAGTCTCTAATTCTTCCTTCACTCAAAAGTGGAACATGTTTTACTCAATCCTGCTAGGTGACCCACCCAAACCCCAACCGCCTCCGGTAAACCAAGAAAAAAGTGTTACCAAAGTTACCAATCAAGATGCTTTCAACTAATAAACACAAGTATGTTAAATGAAATCACATGCCACTGTTGCATGAGGTTACTGTTTGTTTGGCATGGAGTATGGAGACAAACTGTTCTGTGTAGAGGAGGCGGGGTCAGACACTCAGCAAGCTCTAAATCTTTGCAAAACACCCGCAGTCAGATGCTGCAATCGCCGTTTAGATAAGGGCACAAGCTGCAGTGTTTGATTGGAGATGATGATAACCTGCACTGCTGAGTACACATTGTGTAATATAAGTCTCAGTATGAGACACAATGAAAGCAGAATGAGAGACAGAGCCTCGGACACTTTCTCTACATTTAAGATCAGACACGCCATCACAGGCTCAGGCTGCGGAGTGATTCCCATGATGCACTGCGTTTCTTCACTCTGCGTTCATACGTCACCACTGTATTTAATCAGTAATAATTATTCAACTTTACCCGAAACTGGTCGCAGCAGATGGCCCCGCCCCTCCCTGAGCCTGGTTTTGCTGGAGGTTTCTTCCTGTTAAAAGGGAGTTTTTCCTTCCCACTGTCGCCAAAGTGCTGCTCATAGGAGGGGGGTGTGATTGTTGGGGTTTCTTCCTGATATTGTAGGCTCTTTATGTTAGAATATAAAGCACCTTCAGGTGAGTTTTGTGAGTTTGTGCTACATAAATAAATAAATAAATAAATAAATGATGAGCCCACAGGCAGGGCTGGACTGGGACAAAAGATCAGCCCGAGCATTTTGACTAGTGACCAGCCCACCATGGTATTAAAGCCATAAAGCCTTTATAATAAACTTAAACCTACACCATCCTCCCTATTCTGGTATTCTAAACAGTACTTAGCAAAACTATAAAACAACCTAATTTATAATTACATATACCTCACTAATAGGGTTGCCAACTCCCAGCAAAAAAAGAAAAGAAAAAAAATAGGGAACCACTCCCCCACCTCTGCCTCGAGATGCTTAACTGACAAAAATGTTTTTAATTTAACGCACTTATAAAACAAATGCAAAGAAATCGATTATTTTTCTCCAGCAATTAAATAGATTCAACATATTTCTTCAGCAGAATCGCAGCCTGCACAGATGGTACGTTCCCAAAGGAAAGAATACTATAACTTACTAGGATATATACTAGACTTAATATTTACTGAATACACTCGGTAAATTTTTCATTTTACATCAGATAAAAACTTTGTTTGTAAGATTCAGATAATTATTTAACAAAAGCTAGACATTTTAAATGAGAATAAGAAAGTATTTCTTTGTGCCCCCCTCTCCCTGTTAATGCCCTACCTGCCCCCCCTGGCAACACTTTGCTAGACCCGCCCCTGCACAGTTACCAGATGTCAGCTGCTTAAAAAAGGATCCTGGTGTTATTTGTGTCTCAGAAACAGTTCATAACTTCAACTCATTCATGTCACCTAAAAGGTAAACCTGTTTCTCCATCACCTGTTCAGCTCTGATGGTTCAGTAAGGACATCTCCTGGTTTCATCTTCATGTTTCCCTCTCACCACATATCCAAACCGACATCATGACCAGCAGCTTTACAGCTGTGGCTCCAGCAAACATCAGCTGATACTAGAAATTAATATTAAATCAATTCTAACAACAGCTGATCAAACGTGCTGCTGCTGTTTAGCGCGACATCAGCTGGTTTCTTCTTTCTGGTGCAGAGAGAAAAGCCGATCAGCTGATCATTAATCAGTTTCATGATTGAATTTCACCTCAACTTTAAAGTTCGACCTCCTCGGCTGTAATTGGTCCAGCCCAGAGTCGACCATGACCAACTGGCCAATCCACCACCGTTCATTTATACCGTTAAAAAAAAGAAAAGAAATAAAACACCATCAGCCCATAAAAACGAAAAATCACGAGCGGCCGCCCGATGACCAGTCCAGCCCTGCACAGGTCACTTGGGAATGCCACGTTTCATGGGAACCGTTTTGAACTTTAAAACATGAATGTAGTTTTTTAGCACTTTGTACTTGTTTTAATGGCTCAGCCTAACCAGAGGTTAAAAATATCTGCGCCACAAGTCTCAGAATGACCCCACGGCTAACAAAAGACATTACAGGACCCCAAAGGCCTCTGTACACATTTTTAAAAATGGCCTGCGGAGCCCGAGTACACGCTGTGCAGCTAACGAAGGCGTGTCGAATCCTTCCAGACAGAGAAATATGTCTGCCCTGTCAGGCAGAGTTAACACTCTGCCCCTCCCTGCTAAGGAATCATGAATAAATATGTTTGTCGAGCTTGTGAGACGTTGAACATAAAGTTGTGCTTCACTGAACAGTAAAGTGGAATGAGGGATTGTCTTTCTGCACGTGCGTGCGCGCGCGCCGTTCATTTGCATGCATGAGCTGCAGCGCGTCTGTGTGTGTCTGTGTGTGTCTGTGTGTGTCTGTGTGTGTCTGCGTGCATCTGTGTGAGAGAAAAGGAGAAAACAGTGAGTGCGAGTGAATGAAGGGAGTGGTCACGTCCTCTAACAAATGTGAGTCACGGTTTGTTTGCAGGGTGTGAAGCTCGAGTTGTGAGAATAGCTGTCGACGTTACTGTCAGCTTTAAATTACTGGTGATATATTTTCTGACAAGCGGGCCGAATCACAGGGTGGCACGCGGAAGTTAGACGCGATAATGGTGAAAATAAAATGTCACCTCAAAAATAATCATTAGAAGGTGCTCAAAAACAGCTGCTTTCCATCGTCGTTGTTGTGTAAATGTGATGCCTCCACGTTGTGTGAGTGTCCACAAACATAATTCACAGCCTCAAGGAGCTTCTCGTTGTGCGTGAGGCTGGAGGTGTGAACCAGTCACCGCATTTAGAAAGCGCAAAGTGTGCACTCTCAGCCGAACAAACTGACCTCATTCACGCAGTTTAGACGATCTGCTTGTTGGGCGAAAGGCTGAAGGAGGCAACGCTGAGCTCGAGAGCCAGGTGAGGACACACACACACACAACCCCGTTCAGCTATCTTAGTGAGGACCTTCATTGACATAATGCTTTCCCTAACACTACCCTAACCATTAAAAATGAATGCCTAACCATAACCATAACCAAATTGTAACCCTGACACTAAAACCAGATTTTGAGCCTCAAAAAGGCCTTTAAATGTCTCCAAATTTGTGAGGACCAGGTTGTGTGTCCTCACAAGT